AGGGGCCGGGCGAGACGGGGCGGCGGCGGCTCCCGGGGCAGGAGAGCAGCCCCCGGGGCAGGAGGGCAGCCCGCCGCCGGCTGGGAGGCGGCCGCTGACGCTCTGGTCTGGGCTCCCTTGCAGAGAAACGTGAAGCGCAACGGGAGTAGAAGCTGTTTGAACAGGAGTCGGTTTGGTTCCCGCGAGAGGGACTGGCTGAGGGAGGACGTCGGACGAGGCTGCGTGTATGTTTACGGAGGGGATGCTGTTGCTTCTTCAGACTTGCGCTTGGTCCTCTGTACCGTGGACACCCCAGCGTCCGAGATATGCGATGGAGAAGGGAGGAAAAACCTCTTTTTGCAACTTCATGGAGACCTGGTCAGGTGAGGGACGAGAAGGGATAAATCCCTTTGAGGAACATTTGCTTTAGGCCTGCGGAGCTCCGCTCTCTGTGTGCCTGCCTGTGTTGGCGGGGTGGCGTGGGGCAGAGGTGGGTGTGAAAATGAAGTAGTGGTGTGCCTTTTACACATCTCTTAGTAAAGCCGTAGGTGTTTAGCTGGGAGGGTTTGGCTTGGCTGGTGCTTCAGCCAGAAATCTCTCCTCGTTTTGTAGGCAGTGGCTACTGCTCGTATACTCCTTCATTGTGTTCTATGTCATGGACATTTTCAGAAAACCGAAGCCATTTAAGAGACTGTAAACAGTTATTCTGAATCAGTGAAACACGTATGGTGCTTACACAGTTATGTCATGCAGTATTTACGCGGTAGTGATTTTTTTGCTAAGAGGAGTTGCCAGGTAAATAATTAAAGGTAGACAGAATGAGAGCGTAGTAAGGGTTCTATAAGGAAGGCTTAAGCATCAGATTATATGTTTTATGCCTGCAGTCAATTTAGGCTGAAAACAGACAACTCACGGTTTAATATGCATGAACTTTATGCTGTGGGTATATTACAGATTCCTTTAGGTTTACAAGCTCCCGTTAGGTTTGTTAGGATCTAGATTTTACATTGATTCTTCTGGGCTTAAGATTCATTTATAAAGTTGCCTCTCCTCAGGGAAGAAAAATTGCTGTGGTCTCCTTACTTGGAAGGCTAAGCTTAAGCAGTAGAGACAACACATGCTGAACAGGACTAGTAGCTGTTTTTTTGATAGTGAAGTGGAAGTCCTAAGTTACACGTGTTCAAGTTCTTAAAATGTGGAAGGTGTTTCATTGGGTGGGGGAAGGGAGTGCTAGTGGGGAGAGGTGTGGAGAACAGGGTGTTAAAGCCAGCTGCTGCAGAAAGTTAGACAGACCCATTTGCCTTGCCCAACCTGGCTTATCAGAACCAGGGATAGTTTAGTTAAATACACTGTAAGAGGACAGATGGACACTCAGATATAGCCATTGAGGCAGCTGAAAATCTCCCCATTTATTGCTTGAAGAATTTATAAGGAAATTGGCTTGCTTTGGACCCTAACACTGAGCAGATTTTTTAGCATTTAGAAAGAACAGAACCTTTACTGCAGATCATGAAAAGATGAGGGGAAGCCTGTAGATGTGTTCAAAGAAGAGCGTTTTACCTTTTTTGAGCTTTTGAAATGACCTTTGTGTTTGAATTCTTTTCACTGTCTCTCTTCTCATGCTAGGTAGCCGTGCCTGTCTTCAATTTGTCACAGGCTTTACACTAGATTAGCAAATTGGTCCTGCTACCAGTGTTCTGGAAGCAAGTCCCCAGATGTTAAATGTTTACTTCCCGCTCTCATTGCCTCTTGGTGTGTCCAGCACTTTGTCAAGCTTTGTCTTAAATTTCACAAAGCATTCTTGATTACAATGGGTCTGTTCCTTGCGATTTCCAGAACCTGTTTGCCACCTGAGCTACTTCCAGCAGAGAAACGGGAGTTACCAGTGTTGCTTCAGTAATATCTGTGTTCGTAACAGGAAGGAGGCCTGAAGGGTACCAATTGCATGTCCACAGGAAGCTGACAGAATGCTCAAGATATCCCCGTGCCCTGTTGAGATAATTCCTTCCTTAAACAAAGTTCAGTGATTACTTAATAATGTGTTCACAAATACAAATGACTCTGTTAAGCACCTGATTGCATTTTACTGTAGGTACGTTTGTCTCCCAAACAACTTCTGAATCCTTCACCCTTTTGATATCAGTAGGTGACTTTCAGGAGCTGAGTGTGGCAAAGGTTGATTTGGCACCTGACTCAGAAGACTGAAAGCGGAATGGTAAATGGAAGAATAACAGAAACCTTTTTTGTATATCCACTATAAATATTCAGTGGTGTCCTTGTGATCATCATTCTGTTTCCCTTTCCAGTCTTTGCAGAGGGGAGTCAATTTCTGTCAGAACTTTTTCTTCTCTGCAGTGTGCCTCAAGGATCTTTGGGGTTCTAGCTAGAATCGTTCCTTATGTTGGCATCCTCTCGTGTTCAGAAATTGCAACTTCCTGCAAAGGGGAGGATTAAACAAAAATGGCACAAGTACCTTCTTTGGTCTGGATGCCCCTCACAACAAAATTTTAAACTACAAAGTTTTGAAAACTTGACTGTTGCTTATGAAGAACAGCTACAGTCACAGCAAGAGTTGTGGAACAAAACTGTACCTTTTTTTGGCTTTTCTGTTTCCTTACCCTTTGCAGCTTCACTTAATGGAGCTGCTCCTCTGACTGGTGGAAGTGTCCAGTACCTGATACGTGATACTGATGGGGATATAACGGGCTGTTTGTGTCCCACAGCAGCTGCTGTGACACCAGGCTGTTCTCTGCGTGTGCTGGCATTCCGTGCATGTGCACTAGGTGCGAGATGAATCTTTACATTTCTGATGTGATTGCGTGCCAGGTGGGGTTTCACACCACATTGCTTTCTCTCGGAGGGAGAGCAGATTTTTCTACCTCAAGATTTAACTGTTGTCTCTGGTACCTGTCAGCTTGGATCGTGTTAGTCAAGAAATTTCCTATAGCAACTGCTGTTCCAGATAGGGTTTTTGTTTTCCCTTTCCTGGCCTATCCCGGGGCTGGTTAGTGATTCACATGGCTCTTGACAAGACCTTGGACTCGTGATCCATTCAGTCCGGTCTCCAGAATGTCCCCAGAGGTGCTCGGTGAATCGCCCCCTTTTCTGGTTTGAATGTGGTCCATAAGTAATGAGCGGGATTGTTCAGTGCCTGATTTGCACCCCCCAGTGCTGGACCTGTGTCCATGGCTGGAGGCTGGCGCTCTGCTCTCCAGCCTCCCGTGGCACAGCTCAGCTGCGGGAGAGAGTCAAACACCCTCCCACCGAGTCCTCACACTTGAAATGTGCAACACTGAGACCTGCTTCATTTGCAGAGAGTTCAGTCCCCAATCTGTGGGACTTCTTAGGTGTAGATTCTTCTGTAAACTCAGAACTTTTGCTGAGTAGTGAACTTTGAACAACTTGTGGTGTTTTGCAGGCAATTTGGGAGAATTCAGAAGGCTTAACTTCTTGGTAAGGCCTTTGTCTCCCTGCCAGCAGCAAGCAAACCTAGATGATGCAATAGTACAGACTACTCTTCAAGTTTGTTTTCAGATAGAAATGGTACTGTGGCAAGAGAGATACATTTGTTAGGGGATTAGGCTTGAACAGGTATTCCTGCTAATTTTCCTTGTTGTACATGGCTTTTTTAGAAAAAAAACCCAAAACTGAAGGCATTGTGTTTGGTATCTTCATGAAGCATGTCAGTTTGATTTATGTTGACAAGAAGGAAAATTAAGGGGGTTTCACATTAGCATTTTGAAACCCTGTAGTATTAATTCTTGCTGAAGTGAATGAGAAGGGTACAAATAATGAAAAAATCAGATCTCCAGAAGGAGCAGGTATGGGAAAATAGATCTTTTTCAGGAGGATGAGACACAGTACTGTACATCAGAGAGTACTGAGCAACCTGTAGAACTGTGATTTAAATTGTCATATGAAAAGTGCTTATTCCTTTACTGTATTAAGGTTCTTCCTGAATTCTAATGTGCAAGTATATTTATTGTTCAGTCTGCACTTGCAAAATCCTCAGTCTATTCAGGCACCAAATCGTAATGTTTGTGTGTTTGGGGTTTTTTTCCTAGGAAATCTATATGCAGACTGCTTGAAGTGTTCTTTTTGTGAGTGCCACTCAAGCATTTATGGTTCCTGAGCTAGGGTCACATGCTGGAAAAGCTGGTTTCTGGCAAGCATAAGGCTTTAATAGCAGAAGAATTGGAATCTAGGGGTAGTCAAAGGAAACTTAGGCAGGGTGTTTGGAGATCCAGTCAATTCTTTCATATTCTTGTTGGATTCTGTGCTGAAGGCTATAAATACATCAGGGTTTACCATACTGGAAGTCAGCATCATTTGGTGCAATCTACTATTTATTCCAGTTTCTAGTAGCTTGCCCGTTACAGGAGACAGATACACAGGTTTCCAAGATTATCTCAGAAAGCTCTTTTAAAAATTTGGTGTCATGTTCACTGCTGTCTGTTTCTGTAGAAAAAAAAAATAAAAATGACATAAACCTCAGTTACATCTTTGTAGAACTGCTTGGCTCTAATATTCTAAGCTTCTAGATCTCAAGAAGAGGTCCTATAAAAGACGTGAGAGCCTGCATTTTGAAGAAATCCCTGCAAAGAGAGCAGCGTCGATGGCATTAACACTCTTTTGAACCAATCTCTTGTCCCATGTCCATCTCGCAAAGCAGGGGAGGAAAAAGGGTTTCATGGATGCTGATTGTAGAAAGAGCTTGTTGTATCTTAGCTGGGCTAGGATCTTTTTCCTGGAGTTCCAAGGTGATGAGCAGTGTCAGTGACTGGTGGTGGTACCAGGTAATCAGCACTGTTTGAATTTCCATTCTCGACTGCTGCTTTCCTTTTTTTTGGGTGGGGTTTTTTTGTTGTTTTGGAAGCTATCTTCCATCTTATCTTGGAAAGCAGCAAGTCTGGTCCTTGCTTATAGGCTCTCCAAACTATTACAAAAGACTTCCCATCTCACTGATGCTATAAAGTGGATGGCATCATCAGGAGTGAAGTCATCACAATTACAGAGGGAAGTTACATTCTTTGTGATACTAGATCAAGTTGGATTCTGTTCCTAAGACACAAGAAATGGTACCAGGTGACTTCCATGTGGTCTTGAGATTAAAATTTGATGCTATTAGAGCTGAACAACTAAATCTGAACAGGCGGGCAGGAGCCTGATGGAGTTCATCCAAGTGAAAAGGCAGGTCTCAGGCCGGGGGAGGAAGAGCCCAGGCATTAGTACACACCGGGGGCTGGCAGCTGGAAAGCAGCTTTGTGGGGAAAAAAGTGAGCACCAGGCTGAGCAGGAGCCAGCGCCGTGCCCTGCTGTGAGGAAGGCCAGCAGCAACCCAGGCTGCCCTGGGAGGAGTGTTGAGCAGGTCAGGGGGATCCTTCACCTCTGCTGGCACTGCAGAGGCTGCACCTGCAGCGTCTGGTGCTGGGGGTACGAGAGAGACACAGACTTGCTGGAATGACATAGTTAACGGACTGGAGCATCTTTCAGCTGAGAGAGCTGGGACTGCAGCCTGGAGAAGGCTCGGTGGAATCCTTCAGCGCTTATAAATACCTGATGGAAAAGGATGAAGATGATGTAGGTGGTCCTGCTGAAGAGGGGGGTTGGACTAGATGATCACTCCAGAGTCCTGTTCCAACCACAGCGAGTCAGTGATTAAAAAAAAAATAATAATTTAGAAATCTAATTTCCATTTTACTAATGCAAATGCATGGAAAAAGTGTATGTATTTGAAGTCATAAATACCTGCATTACTGTTTTCTATGATTTAATGCTGTGCTTGCCACAGAGATTAAACTCTGGTCAGTGTAACAGGAGATTTTTTTTGTAACAGGTTTTTTAAATTATTTGGCATCTGCTTTTTGTGTAGTATTTCTAGTTTTGTTTCTCATCACTGTTTCCTCCTGGTGCTCCTTAAATCATGAAATGGAAATTATCACCGTGGATTGTATGGTTTATGCCTATTGCTTTTTGTGTCTGTTTCCCTCTGCAATGTAATTCAAGTGCTACAGTTCCTCAGTGTTACTTGGCGAGCAGGAAGCACAGACCCCAAGGACACGTGCTTGCCAAACCTTGTCAGAGGGGCAGAACAACCAGTGTGTCGGTATCCTTATGCTTTACTTGCAATGAGACTTGTTTAATCTTTTTTGCATTCTCAAACTACTTTCTTGTGTGTTTTGACAGGAGGCTGGAGCCCACAGAAAAACCCCTTCAGATTGTGTATGACTACTTGGCTGGGCTGGGTTTTGATGATCCTGTCAGAATGCAGGAAGAGGCAGCAAACTCTGATCTCAGCTGTATGATTCGATTTTACTGTGGTAAGAAATTGTGTGTGTGCACACTGTGCTTGTAGCTTTAACTATGAGGTGGAAATCAGCTGAAGCCCAAGTCATTGACCTACCAGGTTTATAGATTGCTATGTCAAACACCCAAAGTACCAATAAGCATTTCTTAAAATAATGGGGTTTTAAGATTAATAGAAAAAATGGCAGTTCTGTAGTTCTCTTGATCCTGCCTGTGGCTTGAGAAGAGGCAGCTCCACGGGAAGACATGAGATTGCTCTGTTGTCTTTAGTTTGCAGTGTTACAACAAACACCTTAAGAGTTCCTCATGGGATCAGAAACATATTGTGGTTCAGTCTAGACAGACCTGAAGATTGTATTTCTGAAAGGTGTGTGGATATGGGCGAGGGAGGTCCTGGTCAAATACCCCCACAACCTCTGAAAATACAGAGTGGAAGTGCCATCTGGTTAACAGATGACTCAACTTCATGAAAACAAGTAGGTAGAAAATAGAATTTAGTAGGTCTGTCATCACAGGAGGATAGTCCTGCTTAGAAGGAGGCTGTGAAGGAAGAAGTATAAGAATTGGAGGGTGTTCAGGAGACCTGCTTTAAGAAAGTAAAAGCAAATGCTGACAAAGTGGTTCTTAAGGGGAGAGGAGGAATTAGAGGGAATACTGTGGAGGATTATGTGATAATTTTGCTAAGCCTGCAGCTGAGAACTTAAAGGATGAAGTCATGCATTTTAGTCAGAGAAACATTAGTTAGAATCATAGAGTCACAGACTGCTTTGGGTTGGAAGGGACCTTAAAGCCCAGCCAGTCCCACCCCCCTGCCATGGGAGCACCTTCCACCAGCCCAGGTTGCCCAAAGCCCCGTCCAACCTGGCCTTGAACCCTTCCAGGGAGGGGGCAGCCACAGCTTCTCTGGGCAGCCTGTGCCAGGGCCTCAACCCCTTCATCATAAACCATTCCTTCCTTATGTCCAGTCTAAACTAACCTTTTCCATTGCCCCCTGTCCTGTCACTACAGGCCTTGGTAAAGTCTCTCTGTGCCTTTCTTATAAGCCCCCTTTTATGTACTGAAAGGCTGCAGGAAGGTCTCCCTGGAGCCTTCTCTTCTCCTGGCTGTACAGCCCCAGGTCTCAGCCTTGCTTCACGGTGGGGGGGGGTGTGCGCCACACTGGTGTGCTGAGACAGCCTGCATACTTCTTTCACTCCTTGGGGATGTCTGCTGGATTTCTCTGCTCTCTTCCCACTTTTCTGTATGCCTTTCTCATGTGATACCCAGAGTTTGTTTCCTTCCCTGGTGCATGGTGAGTGCTTATGCCCAGTTGGGGTGATTGGGAGTGCAAGTGGATTAATCGCAATCTCACCCTGAACAGCAGTGAGAGGGAAGCATGCTTCCTGGAGTCTGGCTGTTGAGATTCTTGTAGGAGCCCAAGAGTTTTGTGAGGGGAGGGGGTGTGTTAGGTTGGCTGGGAGAATGCAAGGAGGGCTTCCTCTCCATGGAAGTCACTTGGAGAATGAAGGCCAGTGACCCAGGCTGGATGGGGCAAGTTCAGAGACCAAACATTACAGAGTCTTTGTGTGTTTCAACAACACCTGGAAGGAGCCACCTGGGGCATCAAACTGCTCATCTGTGCCAGGTGCCATCGGCATGGCTGTGGAGGGTGGTGGGGATTTGCCTTGGTTCCTCGCATTGCTGTAGCTGGACTTGTGTAACTTGTGAGGTGCTGTTAGAGGTGCTAGCTCTGTCTGTTCATGACCTGTACCCGTGCTCTCCATGTGCTCACAATTAGCCTGTGCTTGCTAATTGGAGTATGGAGTTAAGCATGATCACAGTGACTGACGTTCAAGGCCAAGCTCGGAGCTGCAGAGAGTGACAGGAACTTGCCTGTCCCTAGAGGCTAAGGCCATTCTTACACCTAGCTTGAGGAGTTGTGAGATTCGGAGTGGAAGTCCTTGAACGTTGCCCCTGGGTGTTTCCTTAGCACTAGGACATGGATGGCACAGAAGTTTCAGAGCAGCTAGGGAAACTGGAGGGTTGGTGTAGCTGCTTAGTAATATCTGGTGCTTGGAACAATTCTGCTATGGCAGTCAGTAGGATACCACTTTTGGTCCCATAATATTGTTTTCTTACAATTCTGGGGCTGGTCTTTCAGCTTGGTGAAATCCAAGCAGTTTTTTCTGTGGATGATTAAGAGTTTCTCACCATTAAAGACATCTTATGCCAAACTTCATGTCCCTGAAACAAAGCCACTGTTGTGAATAAACAGCTAAATATTTCAACTAAGTTCAGCCTTGTATAGACATCATGACAGTGGTTTAAATTTGGCAAGCTGAAGATCCTGCTTTCTAACTGAGAAACAGTATAACAACTTTAGTCAGTGATTAACTTTTTGCTCCTAATAAAAGTTTGGACTATGGTTTGTACCTGGGTGTGGGGCATGCATAATCAGTAGTGAGAATATTTTTAGTGGATCTAATTAGAGTTTTTGTCATTGGCATATATGTTGGCTACTCAGTTCCTTTGTCTGACTTTGGGGTGGAGGAAGGGGAGAATATAAATACCTGCAGGTTCATGCTGCTTTTTGATAGCGAGTCACTTGTAGGACAGTTCAAGACAGAAGCAGCCTGTCAGTAACAACTTTTTTTAAAAAAGAGGATAATTTCCTAAATAAAACAAAGGGCCTATTGCCGGATGTTGTTAGGATAAAATGAAATATAAATTTAACATGAGGAGATTCTTAATACTTGAAACTCATAGGTCCATCAGGTCAGGCTTATTCCTTTTCTTTAAAGTATTCAATTAAGTGACTGTTTGGAAATTTTTCCTAACTAGTAAGATAGTATAAACACTGGACAGAATCTTGGAAAACATCTGGGACATTGTCATTATCTTGGAAAAGAAAAAAATAAAATAGAAGGGGCAAGGAGGTAGGATGACCTAAAAGTAAGTGTATGTGGATTAGAAGACTGAGGCAGAATTCTACTTTGTTGGTCAGAATCACAGCTAGCAGTGCACTTTCTCCTGTAGCTCATTTTCCAGGCCTTCCATTAAAGCCCCATAGAAGCTCTTTATTTGATGGTTTCTGTGACTTTAGGTGACTCAACGAGAGTTTGAAATTGCTTTTTTATTGCATCTGAATGAAGAATGTTTGGCAAGTGTGTAAGGTTGCTGAGGTCTGTAATTATCTGTAGAGTAAAAACATAATGTTGTGCTAAAAGGTACATGTACGGTGGTTGCTCGTCAGATGTTGCTGCACTGATGAAGTTGCTTGTCCTCTGCATGAGATTTTTTTTTAAAGTGCAGCTTGACTTGTCTTTACTTGTTCTTTGCAATAACTAATTTTTCATGTCACAGCTGTGTTGCTATTTGTACTCATAGCTGAGAATGAAGAACAAATGTAAAGTAAATGATAATGCCCCCTTTTTCTTCAGAAAAGCCATGTCAGGTGGAACAGCTCGATCGCATCCTGCTCTCTGGAGTCTATAACGTACGCAAAGGAAAGACCCAGCTGCACAAGTGGGCAGAGCGCTTGGTCATTCTCTGTGGGACTTGCCTCATTGTGTCCTCTGTGAAGGACAGCCACACAGGGAAGATGCACATCTTGCCTCTCATTGGAGGGAAGGTAGGACTTTTTTTGGTTAGTTTCCTGTGGCTTATGAAGGAAGAGGGATTATAATGATGGGTACTATTCACAAGAGGTTAATCTAGGCTTTTGTCACAATTTACTGCATTTACATGTACAGAGAGCTACTTGCTTTGCCTAGGTAGTAGTCTTAAGACTAACAAAGAGACACTAGTTCTGCTTTCACGTTAATAACCAGTACTGTGAGTGAGCATTCTGGAGAGCATTGCTTCTCGGATCTACTTTACAGAAAGGTGTTAAGAAGGATCTGCTTCTGTGTTTCTCTCCAGTAACTTCACAACTGTGTTTTCAGCAAAATATGTTGTTACAAGTGGTCAGTAGTACCTCACCCTAGACTTCATATCCATTGTAACTGATGGAGTTTAGGCAGACTTTGTTTTCAATTCTCCCTTTGCAGGTGGAAGAGATGAAACGTCGGCAGTACACGCTTGCTTTCACATCTGCTGGAGCCCAAGCCCAAACATACCACATTTCCTTTGAAACGCTGGCAGAGTACCAGCGGTGGCACCGACAGGCATCCACGGTGAGACCCTGGAGGCTGCAGTGGTTTGGGGGGTGGGTTCAGGGGTTAGAAGGGTTTTCTGGTGAAGGCTTGGTGTGCAGGCAGAGATGAAGCTGGGACGCTGGAGAAGGTACCCAGGACACTTCCCATCTTTCTTCATTTCCCACATGCTCAGGATTATAGAGGTTTTCTTATAGTCTTCTCTCTCTGCCTGTCCAACAGTGTTGAGTAGTAGCTCTGCATTTTTTTCACCCCTGCAGCACCTATTGAGAGTAACTAATCACAGGTCACTAGAGAGAACCCCAGGGACTCGCTGACTTTCCAGCCATAGAAATCTATAAACCACACCTGTTGCCACACTTGAATCTGCCTGAACTGTGGACTGGACTGGCATGGGGCTACCCTGGTAGTTTGAGTAAGCGCAGAGATCATAGGTCAGCAAGGGAAGTGTAGTTTGTTCAGAGCTGCATCCTTATCCCACGTTAAGGTAAATTAGAGGGCAATAGCTTAATGGTGAGCCATTTTGACTTTATATATATATAATATTGTGAAATATTAAATGAGTTTAGGAATAAAGCAGATCATAAGATTGGAATGAAGCACCAAAGACCTTGAAACAAAGCATACTTAATGAAAGGAGACCTGATGTTTGCCAAGACTTTATGAAATGTTGCAAAACCATAGTTTATGAAGCCTTTTCATCATAACAGGTTATGTTTCCAATATTATACCCTGAACAAGCTAGCAAAAGAAAGTCAGAAGAAGTAGCTAGACCAAGCAGAGGTCCTGTAAACCTTAAAGGACTGAACTGGAAAGCCAGCTCCTTCCTGTTGCTGCTTATGTCTTTGGAAGGTACTCAGAATTTATGCTTTCTCAGCAGTTTCTTCAGTCAAATATATGGTTTTCTCACTAGGTTGTCTATCTCACAGCCTAGCTTTTAGGCAGTGCCCACTGCACGTGCAGAGCAGGGCTTTCTGTGTGTCCCAGCTGGTATCTAGGTACACATCCTTGTCAGGGGCCTTGCAGAAACAATAGCAGCAGATGGCATCAGTTCGCACTCTGTGAACTCAGTTTCCTGAATGGACTCTACCGGATGTTTGTTCCTGCAAATTGTTTACTATTTGTATTCTTTGGCCTTTCGTTAGACTTCCAGAGAAAAATTGTTGCACAGCTGCAGCTCTTCCTCCTTCTTTTCAGGTTGTGTCTATGCGACTTGGCATGGTTGATCTTTCATGCTACAGCCTTGAGGAAGTACCTGAGCACCTCTTCTACAGTCAAGACATCATCTACCTCAACCTACGACACAATTTTATGAGATCAAGTGGAGCAGGGGGTCTTGACTCTCTTTGCAGGTCTGCAAAGAATTATTTTTCTTCTACATTTGGAGTTCTTGACATGTGCATCCAGGGATGAAGAGGAGGGAGAGTGTATTGCCCATTCTTGTGGGGATGGTAAAAAGATTGATCTTTAGAAAGCTCTAGCAGATGGGGGGGCTGGGAAGCAGAACTGAACAGTGCAGGCAGGCACAAGCTTCCAGCAATTTACAGTATTTATGAACTCCCTTCCATAGATTCTTTGTGCTAAGTTTGGTCTGAGCATTGTGGAGCAGTACACCATTTGTGTCGATAAGACACAAATGTGCAAGAGTGATATAAGGCTGCTTGCTGAACAGAGAACATTTTGGGGTATAAAATAAAAGGTGAGGGAAAGCATAATGCTGCTGTTGTGGGTAAGTGTTTGTAGGAAGAAGTGCATATCTGAAAAAGCCTGTTTTGGAAAGTTCTTAATGTTAATGTGCATTTGGAATTGGCAGAGGGCCTGTGAGACTTCAGCCTTGCTTTGGCAACTTGTAATGATCTGCTTTTAAGAGAGTAGCAGTTGTGTGATGGTATGGAAGCATGATGTAGTCATCTTAGGTAAGTGAAGGAGGCTTACAAAATATTTTAAAATTAATTCCTGAAAACCATAAAAATCTAAAGAAAGATTAGTTTGATATCTGCGCTAGCTGAAAAGAATTCAAGGACTTGCTCTATGAATTTTGAAAGGCATTAGGAAGCCTGTCGTAATATTGTCAAATAGCCCTGTGTTTGGAACACATTGGGCCTCAGGAAAAATGTATTTGAAGAAACTTTGTAAAACTGTAGTTTTTTGTTTTGGTTTGAGGTTTTTTGTTGTGGTTTTGTTTCATTGATTTCTGGGGGCCTATTATCAGGTTATTTCATTTTTCTTCCTACAGAGTAATGAGATACCTAGATATCCATGAGGGTATATGGGGGAAAAAAATGGCTCACCTCTGGGAATTCTTTGCAGTTCCATTGAGAGCCAGTCTAGTCTGGTTTTAATTCCAAACTTGCTTAAGTGTTTTTGAACTGCTGAATTGTAATTGATTCTGTTATTGGAATATGTTGGAATTGCTTAAAATAATTCAAGATTTTGCTTTCTATTTCTCTCTTCAAATACATTGTATGATGTTGAAAACCGTATCAGAACTTTATTTTCTAAAATGCGGTATCCTTGGTTCACAGGATCAGCAAAGGGGCTTGAAATTTCTTTTGACCTTGCATGTAGTCAACAAGAGATCTGACATATCAGAAACTCGACTCTTTTCCTGGCAGTGACTATGTCTGATGAAGCTGAAATCCTCAAACAAACAAAAGCCATAAAAGAAGCCCTCACTTCACACAATCTTGAATAAACAGGTAGCATTAGGTAGCCCACATAAGGCTGCTCATTGCCTTTTGAAAAGATTTTCTTTCTGAGGTTTTTAAGATGTTTATCAGGTCACAGCCCCAAATGAAAAAACTTGCTCACTTGCCGTAGGTGTTACAAGTGCCTAGAGGTTGAGAGTTTGGAACAGCAGAGTTTTTTGTAATGATCAGATCTCTGAGGAAATCTTTGAAGCTGTAGGAGTCTAATTAGCTATAACTATAATAATGGGACAAAAATAATTAACTAAAAGGGAAATGTTAAGCAAAGAGAATTAAATAAGACCACCTGTTTTGTTAAGTCTCCTAGCTTATTTTTTATGTAATGTACTGTCTTTCAAGTATCTCCCTTTTCTGGAAAACTTTATGAAGTCTGACCCTTGTTGGTAAGTGTGTGTGCACACGTGTGTGTACATACACACGTCTGTTACCACCATTCTGGCTAGTTGATACAGAGTTGTACTGGGATGCTTTGGTGGAAGAGCAGCATATTGGGAATATTTCAGGCCGCCACCAGTTTGGGCTGCTGAACAGAGAATGGGCATCCCATTGAGGATTTGTTGCTGTGTTTTCATACCTCTCTGCATAATCTCAACATGCCCTGTGAGAGCACAGACCAAAACTTGGGAAGCCGTAGTGATTTCAGGATCATTATTCTCTGTAATACATGGTTCCTGTATACAGCGTGGATGAAAGTTGGGTTTGCATTCCATTCCTGCATCCCTACCACTTGAGAGCGTTGGGGCGAAGGAGAAGGAGCAGAAGGGGAGCTCAGAAGGCTTTTGAGTATTGTTCACGTTGTTGAATGTGACAGTGTGCTCGAGGAGGCTCAGGCCAGGCAATGCCCCTACAGCTTTTGGAAACTTTAATGCCCCTTTTGTGTTTGCTTTGACATTGTTGCAGAGGGATGAATCCTAAAAATTGGTTATGCTGTTGCATTTAATGGCATGCCTCCTAGGCAGGTTCTCACCACCCTGCTAGTGACAGAGGAAGAGCTGCTTGGTGTTAAGGACAGGTGCCACAGAAAAAGCCTTTGTAGATCTCCAGAGGAAGCAGTTTCATTAAAGTGTTTCATAATTCCAAAACCTGAGAACTGTGATCTGTCCTAAACCTCTTAAAGTTGAACCAGTTAATGAGAAAGTTCAGATCTGTAGATTTATCCTCATTGTTTCCTTTTCCATTATTGTTGTTAAGTTCTGTGTACAAGTTTCTGATTTTTGCGTCATTGTTAGATCTTTGCATCATACAGCATGTTCTCTTTAGGAAAGCTGTTACCAGTACAGCATCTTTCTCTTTGGCTTTCGCTTGCATTATGAGAGAGTTTGGCTGCAGCAAATATAAAATGCCTGTGCCCTTATTTATATGACGTGGTGCTTTCTCAAAGTGAATAACCCATGTCCAGGTTTCAGATACACTCCCTCTTCAAAAAAAACCTGCCCCCCCTCCAAATACTATAAAGCAAAATGGAGAAATATAACGCATAGTTCCGACACAGATCACTCCCAAGTATTCTGAATCTGTAAAAGGAGTCATTATAAAGAAGAAGAAATTTCAAAACCTTTCAGTCTCGTACTTCAAGACATCTCAAGCTAGAAGCAATATTTTCCCTTAAGCTAATTAACCTTCAGTTTGTTACCTATATTAAAAACTTTTCTTCAACGTAAGAGCTACTCACTGTTGCTTACCAAAAAGTATGGTAAGTGGAGCACATGAATGAGCTATGTGTTTCCAAGAAGTACTTCTCTGGTACATTACGTTAGATTCACAACTGTCTCGTAGAAGTATGATATTAATTTCCCCACTGAATTAATTTCTGATGGTTCCAGTTTGGGATGAGGAGGTTATTACTTGGGGAAAAATATGTTTGTTTCCTCTAGAAAGAGGTAGGAAGTCTTTGAGAAGAACCTCTTGCATGTTACCCCAGCCCAGGCTCAGTTTCCTCTCTCTGTTTGGAGCCAGCCCAGCGGTGGCGGGAGCTGAAGGACCAGCCATCTGCTCAGCTGTGCGGGTGCTTGCGCAGCAGCACCTCAGACCGGGGATCCTTCCGGGAATCTCTGGGTGCGGGTCCTGGAGCCTCCCAGTATGAAATCTGCACTTTCCTGTTTGTCCCTTTGACAGCTCTGCTAGGCCTTCTGCTGTACCTAGCTCGATGGGGTATTCCCCTCCTCTGTCTTACCCTCAGAACACTTCCAGTGAATGTTTTCAGCTCTGGTTTTCCCAAGCGGCATAACTGTAGATGGTTACTCTAAATAATTCTTTGAAGGTAATTTTTTTGATCTGAGTATTTTTAGTCGTCTTAATCTTAGCAACGGTCACTAGGAGTCGTCGGGAGTCAGGGTAGAAGGTCATTACTGGTTTCTGCAGTAAAACCACAGTATTTGATCACTTTCAGCATTACCACCGAGATGCCAAGTATCAGTGACTTAAAACTAAATTTGTGCAGAAACTCCCATAATGAAATAGCTAACTGTATTGTCAGTGTACAAAGCCTTAAAAATTCTTTATGACTGGTTTTGTATGGTTTTGGTTTGAGACTGTGGAGGTTTGTGAAGTAACTACTGTTCTTGCCAATAGGTTTTCTCAGCTGAAGAGCCTGAACCTGTCTCATAACAGACTGGGAGAGTTTCCTGTATCACTGTGCGAGATCTCTACTCTGACAGAGCTTAATATTTCCTGTAATGGACTTCATTACTTGCCAAAACAGATTGGCAAACTGTTGAAGTAAGTACATTCTTTCTACCTGTGGTCACAAACACGCATGGTGCTTCAGCTGAGCTCAGTGGATGTGAAGGTGTGAGTGTGCTGGGGCCCCTTGTTCTGCCGTGAAGACTGAAGGAGGGATTCGACTCTGGCAGAAGGTCGAGAACCAAGATGTCCAATAGGGTTTGTTTTTCCTTGAAAATAAAGATATCCCAGTGTGTTTATACAGTTGCCATTTTAGGTCACTGATACATAGCAAGTTATCACCTGTCATTTGTGCCTTCCTGCCTATTCTACTAGCTATCAGTGTTCTGGTAGAGGAGATTAATGGATTTTGCCTGTTTCGGAGTGGTCCTGGTCTAGGAAGACACTTGAGTCACAGGTGCCACCTTGCTGAACTAGAGTCCATGTGAAGGCTTCTAAGCGTATGAACATACTCTCACTTAAAGTTTAGTAAACTTAAAGTTTTTTATATTTGTGGAGATTGTGTTTTGGGGGGTTTCTTTTTGGTTGGTGGGGTTTTTTTACTTTGGAGTGACCTGTATGATTTCTTGCAGCTTTATGTCATATTTAAATATAAATTTGAATGCATCCGGTTCTTTTTGCATTGGCTGCCATCTTGCATTCCCTTGTCTTCTTTCTTCTTATTTCCTTCCTACGTTCTCTTCTAAATTTATTTTTAAACTACTATTATGGTGTGATGCCTTATTGGTTAAACATAAATATTGTTATGTTTACATAAAAACACCTAAGAGTTTCTAAAGATCATGCTGTTGGGGCATTTCCAGAAGCCACAGATTAGTACAGTGAAACATCCATGGAGATCAGCTAGGCTTTGCAGAGCTAGGGAAAAATATACATGCCTCTCAAATTCTGAGGCCTAGCCTTTGGACCCTATTTATGTGAGCAAGAGCATGCCCGTTGTCTTGCTGCAGTATTCATAAGCATCTTGCACAAAAGAGATTGTAGATTTCTTAACTGTATACAACTTTAAGGTATAAGGGTATATTATAGGACCAAAGACAGTCTCAGGTGCAATTCCTTAATCACTACTATTAAAACATTACAACTGCTGATGTAGAAAAGATGAGGAAACAAATTGCAGATGAAGCATTGTCTGAAGACAATTGTACTGTTTCTCAAAGAAGTTAATTCTCAAATAAGTGCATTGTTCTGCAGCTGCAGAAGTGTATGATACAGTTTCTGTTAAAGTTTTAATTTGTATAAAACTTTTCTGTAGTAACTTCTCACAGAGGTCTAGTGATTTTTGTCAGCACTAGTATATTTTGATAGCTTTCTACAGAGTTGGTTGCTTTTTGTGTTAGAAGAAGGATTTTAACATAGAAATACTTGGACAATGAAAGTTTTGTCTTAAAGTATTTGCTGGAGTAAAAACCTCCATTTTCCCTGGTAGCTACCCAGAATGCATAAAAGCTTAAGCTTAGGTAAATTTAATTACAAGAGTATTATTGTATTTGTTTAGATAAACATTGGTACTGAGCTAATGGTTCATTGTGGCCTGCTCTTCACCCAGATTATCCCTTTAAAGAAGGAGTGTATGCACCTACATTGTAAGCAAGTGATTTCCAGAGTGACCTTTCAGCCATATACAAACTGTGAGGGAAAAGCTCTGTGCAGGCTTATAGTTTTCAGAGGTTTACAACTTGGTTATGGGTCTAGTCATCTTTATGACCCCTTGAGCCCTTATTCATAAGAACTTTTTATGGCCCCAAATTACATGTCTAGCACCACTAAACACTGTTCAGAAAGTTCTTAGTTGGAACATAATCATAATGAGGGAATTGTATTTTGGGGCTTGGAGTCTCCAGAGCCATGCAAACTTTTTGTCTTGCAACAACAATTCATCTTAAAACAGAAAGCCATCGTGGTTTTTTCCGAGTGTTGGGAAGGACAACTAGAATCTAAAAATCGGTTACCAGTGCGTTAGTGTGGTTAGAGATTGTGATTAAACTGTGCCATAGATTCAGTAATTGCCATAGTAGTGATATGAGATTCCAGTGATGGAATGATGAAGGTGTAGTTGATTTTTTTTTTTTATTGTTTCTTATGAGACAGGTCTGTACTGTTACTGCTGTTGGTTTTGCTTTTAGTTTGTCACAGGTCTTTTAAAGACTGTCCAGCATGCTAAGTGAGGAGTTCTTAATTTGTAGAAAGCCAAGTGATTAGGTAAATATCTTTCATTTACAACCTAAATACTTTCATTTTACAACCTAAATACTGATTTGTATTTTGCTTATGTTAACTTACAGTCTTTGGCACAACTCCAAGTGTACCTCCAGAATAATTTAGGAACTATTTGGTATTGTATACATGCAGTTCCAAGCCTATTACATGCATGATAAAAGTACTCCAGTAATTTTATGTGTATAATAATAAAATTAGCTGTTAGGTACCTTTAAAAAAATAGCCACACTGAGACCAGCTAGCTGTATGAGGAAATTCACTGAAAATGGTAAATGTAATGTTAGCTACCCTTTGCTGAACTATTTTCTTTCTCTTTTTTATTGCTGCAGTCTCCAGACCTTCTGGCTTGATGGGAATTTCCTCACGTCCTTACCAGAAGAACTGGGAAGTCTGCAACAGCTCAGCTGCCTTGGGCTTTCCTTTAATAACTTCTGTGAACTGCCAGCAATTTTTGAGAAACTCGTCATCTTAGACAAACTAGCCCTGGCAGGGAACTTGCTGGAGACCCTGGACCTTGCAGTGCTGAACCGTATGAGTCACATCAAAAGTGTGGACCTGAGGTAAGGGTGGGAATCTTGTGTAGGTATATAAACCAGATTGCCACTCTCCACTTACAGCAGAGGAGCTGTGTAACTTCTAGTACCTTTTGCAACAAACTAGGTGTAATTTTTTCTCTTACTGATTCTTTAGCTTTTAGGGAGTTCTGAGGGTGTGCAGAACTCACTAGAGGAGCAAGGTTAACTGAGCAGTGCCTGATGCCACTGATTGTGACTCAGCCCTTTAGTTCCTCTCTTGGTATTAATGCTGTGAGTTTCAATAGCTCTTTGATCTCTTCTACCCTTTTTTGCCTTCTCCCCTCCCTCCCCCTGCCCTAGAGATGTGCTCCTGATTCTCCAGGCTGCCAACTGCAGAGCTCTCAGAAAGGGACAAAGAACTTTTTGTCTGTGGCAGTGCAGTCTGGTGTCTAGTCTCTGCATTATCTTCCTGTGTCAGTGCTAAGTAGCTGTCCCTTGGCCTGGCTTCTTATTTCTGGGATGGTCTTCAGAATCTCTTAAACATTGGGGAATGGGTAAAATGGTTTCACATAGCAGTGCAGAAAAAGGAAATGTTTTTCTTTGTATTCACTGACTGAAATCCACCATTGCTCCGCATGCATGTTAGCCTTCACCAGAACTCTTCCTTTCCTCTCCTTTCTTCTCTCTTCATACTGATGTCCAGTGTTCAGTGTCCTATTTTCTGACTTTGTAACTCTTATCTGAGTGTTTAGGCTGAACAACCTGAAGAGAGCAGCAGCTGACACTCTGGAGGGGAACAAATCTGTGACTTACATGGATTTACGGGACAATGAGATGACAGATCTGGATCTGAGCTCCTTGGGCAGCCTGGAGCAGCTGCACTGCGAGCGGAATAACCTGAAAGAGTTGACGCTGAGTGGCTTCTCCCTTCGTGCCCTCTATGCCAACAACAACAGTACGTTTCTTTGCCTTCTTCACCTGCCTTCTTCCTTCAAGCCCCAGGAACAAAGAAAACAGCCCTTTTCCCTCCCACACAAAAAACCCATGCTGGTGTTACAGTAGTGAGACCGCACATGATGGGTCTTCTCAGCCCAGATCCTAGGGATCACACATGCACGTATGTGCACAGGCTGTGTAACGGGGAGGTTGTGGTGTTGAGTTACTGTCTAAGGAATTCATCTTCCAGTAAGATCTGTTTGGGAGTCCACAAAGTACAGTTCCCCCTTGTTCTGGTGCCCCACATGGCAGATGGAGAAATGAGATAGTGAGAAGCTGTAGTGCCATGTGGCAGATATATGAAATGTGAACTCTGTCTTGGGAATGTTGAGTAGAGACCTAGAGTATCCATAAAGCAAGACTACAAGTCTCACTTGCTAGCTAGTCTGTCTGCTTCTCTGTGCTGTTTTCCCTCTGAAGGTCTGCAGTCATAGTTATTTGTTTTACTTCCTCAGGTCTGACAGCTGTCAATATTTATCCTGTTCCTGGTCAACTGACATGTCTGGAACTCTCTCAGTAAGTGACTATACACCACAGAATATAAAGCAAGTATCTGGGGACCTTTGCTGTTTCTGCAGAAGTTTTCTGGAGCTTTTAAGCTTTTGAAAGAGTTGAGAGCAATTGAGGGAAGGTGCTCCATCTTCACCATAGAGCTGGGAAGCCCAGCACTAAAGAATGATCAGTGTCCCAGACCAGAAGCCCTTCTGAAGCAGTGTGACCCGTCTAGGTGACGGGCTGTCCTTCAGATGTAGGCTGTCATCAGCAAAAAAAGCCAAGCAGGGACTACTGGACTTGTGGCAGCTTACTGGGCTTGACTGGTGGGAATCTGTGGAGCAAACATTTAGAGTAGCTGCCGGAGGTTTCTACTGTTGTCTTCACTGCCTTTGCCCTTGGAGCAGCATTGTGTGACCTGACAGGGTGCCAGGAGGACCCCATCACCAATTGCTTCAGTTCTGGGTCGAAGCACAACAGCAGGATAGTGTAGGGCGGCCTGTTCCGCTGATGGCAGTGCTATAAACAGAAAGTCTGATCATCAGAGCCTTGCATCAGCACTTTCTGCCGATCGTGCACCAGCTCAGTTTGCATTACACAGCTAGGCATGAGAGAAATTCCACCTGACTAGCTCAGATGCTGTTGTTCATTTTCTGCCTGTTGTTTTTGGTTTGGCTGTCACTAATGTCATGCAACATTCAAACAGGGTATGTTCCATATGGAGTGCTGGTGTCTAACTTTTCCTTCTTGTTTTTCTCAGCAATCAACTGCAGTGTGTCCCAGACTGGGCCTGTGAAGCAAAGAAACTGGAAGTTTTGGATGTGAGCTACAACCTCCTTGTGGGGCTTCCATTGAGGTCAGCAAACCTTCTTCTTATACAGAGCTGAGCTTTCTTCTATGGTGAGCTGACTGGGGAGAGAGCAGCAGTACTGTTCAGATGCTTTATTCCTTGTTGTGCAGAGATGTAATCCACTTACTTTCTCTGTGCAGTGTCGAAAATACTCTGTATTCAAATGTTGGAAAGAACTGACTTCCAAATCAGCTTCTTGAATAACAGGGGCCAGGTAATTTCATCCTATGCTTCTGGCTTCTACTGCAGCTGTTTGCACCTGAAGTAGAACACACTGCTATGATTTATTTGTGTTACCATAGTGTCTGTGAACACAGTTCATAGGTGAGGCCCTAATATGCCTTGCATTGCCCCACGGAGATGTAATCTGTTAGCTTTCATAGGGAGATAGCACAGAGATGTGGTATAGCTCTCACCATACATCATCAGCCAGCTCCTTTCTCCCCATTTCCTTTTCAGTTTCTGCAGAAATGCAGTAAAGGGGAGCTAAGAACTAACACAATTTTGCAGATACTTATAATGACTTTTCCAAGGTACCAGGGATAACATGGGAAGAAGCAAAGCCCAAATGTTCTTAAGCCTAAGTGTGTGTGGTGGGGGTGTGATTGTAAAGAATGAGACACTGTCCAGGGTGAGCTGTATTGAACTGAACAGAAGGTCCCTCCCTCCTGCAGGGAGCAGGTTAAAGCAGCAGGCATGGGAAGGGATCTTAGCAGTGACAGTCTAATGGGTGTCAGAGACAAGACTCTATGCACCAAAAGGAAGAAAAGGATGTGCAGTGGTGTGGTAAGGAGGACTTAGAAAAGAATTCTAGCTGTGCCAATGGATGAAAAAGACCAGATTTTAAGTATGTTATGGAAAAAGAACCTGCAGAATTCAGACACAGAAATGTATTTTCTAAAAAGAAATTTAAGCATGTTTAAAGATTCCTAAGTGCTGGAATTTACTGTATCTATTGGGGATCTCTTCCAGTAAGTATGTCTTGTGTACAATTAGAACCTTGTCAGTGTTCACTTTCAGCCATTGATCAGGTTAATCCAGGAGACTAAAGCTTAAAGAACCCCTCACAAGGGGACAGAGTTCATTGTGTAGTTGTCTCTTACACTTAGTTGTCTGAAAACAAAATTATATCAAAGTGGTATGTGACAGTGTTGAGGGGAGATACCCAAGCCAGCTCTGGATGAGTCAGCTTGAATAAGGAAATGGAGTATCTGCATTTAAATGGCTTTTTTTCCCCTAGTATAATTACCTTTGAGAAGCCACAGCATACAGAAAGAAACTGAATGCATTGGCCTGCAGGGAGCATCGCACTAATGCAGCTTTAGCATTTCATGCTTTAAAACTGTTCTGTACAGGGCTCTTAGAATGTAGTCTCAAATTATCACCTCACACAACTGGGCAGGGTGGTTCTAGGCTGCGTCCAGCTGTGTTCTAATATCCTTTCTCAAAATTCCTGCAAGCAGTTCTCTGCAGTTCATGGGGATAGAGGCCTCTTCCTTAAATAGCACTGCGATTCTGGAGAATGACAACAGCCTCAGAAGCAATACAGGAATGCTAAGCAGCTGGTTAAAGCTCTAAGTTGGCACGGGGGAAGCACTTCTTTCTTCCTACAAGTGAAAACAGGCATTTAAATCCATCCTTTGTTGACGTCTCATTTTTCTGTCTGCCTGAGAGAACGCGGACAGACAGGCTCGCATCACAAGTTACTGATCTGCAGTAGCATAGAGGGAAATGCAGATACACTTCCATGAGTTCAGAGTGACTGAGGCACCTTACCATGTGTGTTTTTCTGCATTGTCATTGCTTACATTTTATGGATCAATGTATTTTAATTTTTCTATGCTGTACAGTCAAATTACAATGGATTAAATGCTACCTTTTCCCACTCTGTGGATGTGAGGAGGCATGAACCAAGTTGATACAGAAAACCCTGTGTCTTTCTAGGATCCTGAGCAGCTTGAGCCTTCGGAAGTTGATGGTGGGGCACAATCGTCTGCAGAGCCTTCCACCTCTTGTAGAACACATTCCACTGGAGGTGCTGGACCTTCAGCACAACCTGTTGACTAAGCTTCCAGAGATGCTCTTTGTCAAGGCTCTGAAGTGAGTGGCAGTAGTCAATGCCTTTTGTCTGCATTAACCTTTGGAGCTGTAAAGGCTAACGGTGGCATCTGCATGACTGCCCTTGCAAGGTTCCATTTGCATGAGAGAGAACAATGGGTGTGCTTTATGAGGAGGTAATTCGGGTGCCATAAGGGAAGTCATCAAGCTGATTTGAGGGAATCAGTCCATGTTACTGTTTAGTTACAGAAAAACAGAGGCTTGCCTAACCCAGCAGCCAACTGAAGAATTAGCTTCAGTTGCAACTGTTTCTAAGGTCATGTTACTGCCTGAAGAACTTTGTCTTTAAAAGTAGTGCACAAATTCAGGTGCAAATGAAAGAAGCTGTACAGATTTTCAGATATTACAGTAGAAAGCACATCAGGTCATTGGAGAGCAGCGAGAGAGGCCCTTACAGATGAACAACCCCTCATTACTGTCTATTCAGACGTGAGTCAAACCTCCTTTTAAAGACTCTGAGTAAGAGTTTATGTAGTCTGATTCTACCAGTATTACCCACCCTCTCCACAGGCTCTTCAGTGCCCACTGTTTGCTGTGAAATGCTGTGTGCATCTGCAGTGCTATATAGCCAAGAAGTCATTGGTAGACTCAAATCTTCGTGTGAGTAGGGATGTTAGACTGTGTTGTCTGGCCTCCTGTCTAATGCTGTTGCTCTGACCACACTGGCATTTGTATAGCCCCTTTTCCTGCTGTTAATGGAGTGGTTTAGATGATGTGAAATCTGATTTTTGCTCTTGCTGTGGTTAGCCTCAGGTACCTGAATGCATCTGCGAACAGCCTGGAGTCCTTGCCCCCTGCATGTACAGGGGAGGAGAGTCTAAGCATGCTGCAACTACTTTACTTGACCAACAATAACCTCACCGATCAGTGCATCCCTGTCTTGGTGGGACACCTGAGCCTACGGATCCTGCATCTGGCAAACAACAACCTCCAGACTTTCCCTGCAAGGTAAATAAGTAAGGCTGGCAGACGAGACAGTGCTCACCAGGAGGATGTTGCCTGCCTTACTGAGACTGTACGTGAATCAGCGTCAAAGCAAGATGTTCTCCCTGTGGCTTGATAACAAAACCCAGCTTAGGTTTTCTTGCCAGTTTTAAAGTTAAGATGCTACAATCTTTTGCTTTAGTACTTTAGAAATCAGGAGTGGAGGGGTCTGTATATTGTATAAATCCCAGCCAGACTTGGGGACCCTGAGCTCTTATTTGAGCATCTCTTAGGACTTTTGGTCTCCTATCAATAGATTAGAAGTGTAGCTCATAAAGGGCAGTGTCTATGGATGCTTTACCTGCACCTACAGAAAGTGACACGTTCTTGCCTATAAGATACAGTATTCTTATGTTTCCCTTTTAGCAAACTTAGTAAGCTGGAGCACTTGGAAGAGCTGAATCTGAGTGGCAACAAACTGAAAACAATTCCCACAACAGTGGCAAACTGCAAGCTACTTCATACACTTATTGCACACTCTAATGAAATCACCACCTTTCCAGAGATCCTGCATTTGCCCCGTATTCAGGTATTCTTATGGAGAAGGTAAAGAGATATCTGGGGAAAGTTTGGGTTGGAGAATGAAGCATTAACTGCTAGGAGAGGAAGTGGAGAGCCCAGCATTTTGCTTGAACAACCTGAGAATAGGGCAGAGAATATGCATTCTGCATCTGTCACCTTTCTGAGTTGATCAGACATGGCTCACCTCATTCATCTTTACCGTCTGTCTCTGACTTGGTGCATTTCTGGTTTACCAGTGAGGCAGGGGAGAGTGTAACATAACTAGGCAGGTTTGTATATACAGGCTTTCTTTTATCTTTAGTGTGACCTATTCTTTCAGTATTGGAGTCCTGGCTGTTGCAGGTTTTAAACCTTTGCTGCTTATAAATCATTCCTGTACTGATAGGTCAGACCCATTTTCATGACCTGTTTGTGAAACACAATCAGTAGTGGGGTCCTACGATGTTTGGAGGGAGCACTAGAGTAACTGGCCACATGACAGAACAGAGAATATTTTCTTTGTCATTGTGCTTTTTTTTGATACTGCAGTTTGTGGACTTGAGCTGCAATGAGTTAACTGAAATCCTAATCCCTGAGGCACTGCCAGGTGCCTTGCAAGAGTTGGATCTGAGTGGAAACACAAACCTGGTGCTGGAACACAAGACACTGGACATCTTCAGGTGAGCCATGGAGATGCCAACCCAGTAGTGACCTGCACAGGGAAGGATAACCATTCCCAGGAGGGGACATGACATAATAAAGTGTATATCACAGCACTACATAACATTATGATGTTCCCTGCCTGAAGCAGCTGAAGCTTCTATCTTGTAGGAGGGAAAAAGTTTGGGTCCAGATCATCAGAGTAAGCAGACAGTTTCTCAGGTGGTAGGAGGTTCTCCCCGCTGTCTTGGGCATAAGCAGCCAGACCTCTCCAGAAGCCAGGACCTTAAACTCCTCTTCTTGGTGCAGTTCTTTCCACAGGCTCCTGGCTAAAACTCTAGACTGGACAAGGTCTTTTGGCCACAGACTGTTGAGCAGGATCTAGGAGAGAATGACTTGTGTTCTTCTCTCTCTGTAGTCACATTACCACACTGAAGATCGACACTAAGCCCACCCTCACGGCAGACTCAGCACTCACTTCTACCTTCTGGAGTCATGGAGTGGCTGAGATGGCAGGCCAAAGAAATAAGTGAGTATCGTGATCTGCTGGTTGCTAACTCTTTGTATTCTTGGGGTGCTGGGTGGAGTATGCTGCCAAGCGCCCAAGCAGGCTTGTTTTGCTCAAGAGCCCATCGGTCCCTCTGTCTCTCCAGATCTCTTGCGAAATCTTGGTAACTCGAGCCTCTGCACTCTCCTTTTCCTCAGTTCTAACGCTTGTTCTGGGGTGCTCAGACTTTGCTTCCCCACCCTAGCAGAGATGCTTTTTCTTTCTCTTGCTGGCTGTGCCTGTTGCGTGGTCAGGCCTGCTGTGGTCAGGGAGGGTTCAGGAGATCTAGTCATAAAATGAAGCTGCACATCTCATGGGACACAGGCTTTGCTGCCCTGTGAGAACAGCACTGACAGCAAGGTGCCTGATGGCTGTGGTTCTGGGGACCATATAATCTTTTGAGACATATTAACTTTGCTCATATGCTTCTCTAACAGGCTGTGTGTGTCATCCCTGGCACTGGGAAGCTTTGCAGAGGGGGTGGAGGCTGTGTATGGCATGTTTGATGGTGACAAGAACGAGGAGCTGCCGCGCTTGCTGCAGTGCACCATGGCCGATGTGCTCCTGGAGGAGGTGCAGCAGTCAGACACCGTGTTCATGTCCAACACCTTCTTGGTCTCCCACAGGTAGGACAGGGAGCCGGCTGGTCTGGTGGGACCTGCATGGGTACATCACCCGATGTCTGGTGGGCTGAGGCAGCACTCCAGAGCGCCTGTCGCTGGCGTCTGCAGCCTTCCTGCACTTCTCCTCCCACAGGAAGCTGGGCATGGCTGGGCAGAAGCTGGGTTCCTCTGCTGTCCTTTGCTATATTCGTCATGATGCAGCTGATCCAGCAAGCAACTTTTCTCTGACGGTGGCCAATGTGGGGACGTGCCAAGCCATTCTGTGCCGAAGTGGAAAACCACTGCCTCTCTCCAAAGTCTTCAGCCTTGAACAGTGTTCGGAAGAAGCCAAGAGAGTCAAGGAGCAAAAAGCCATTATAACGGAGGTTAGTTTGGACCCTCCTCACTTCAGCTTCCACCCTCCTGTAAAAGCTTGGTACAAATGCACGAGCTCTCCTGCCTGCCAATACTACAGGGGAGAGGATGGCACAAAGGTGTTTGAGTGACTTGACTGTTGCTTCCTGCTCTGCCTCCCTTGCCCATTAGCTGTTGTTGCCAGCGTGGGTGGTGGGCAGTGACAGTACCTGATGATCAGGTACAGTGAATGTCTCTGCTGTGGTACCTGGACCTAGACCCCTTTCTCCTACCCTGTAGCTGAGTGTGATGTTCCTCAAGGCTCCGAACCAGTACATAGGCAGGGGAAAGGCTGCTCTCTGGGTGGTCTCACAGCACATCTAACACTGCTGCCCTGTTTCTCTTGTCTGTAGGACAATAAGGTCAACGGAGTGACTTGCTGTACTCGGATGCTGGGCTGCACATACCTGCATCCTTGGATCCTGCCCAAACCACACGTCGATTCCATTCCACTGACTGTACAAGATGAGCTGCTAGTTCTAGGGAACAAAGCTCTCTGGGAACACCTTTCCTACGCAGAGGCTGTCTCAGCCGTGCGTCACCTACACGACCCGCTAGCTGCTGCGAAGAAACTCTGCACTTTAGCCCAAAGCTATGGATGCCAAGACAACGTAGGTGCAATGGTGGTGTGTCTGAACATCAGTGAGGACAGCTGCACATGTGAGATGCATGGCCTCACTCTGCCAGGTCCTGGGGGATTTAGTTCCACCACCACCAAGCCAGCAACACCTTCGTCTAGCAGTGGAATTGCTTCTGAGTTCAGCAGCGAACTGTCTGCTTCTGAGGTTAGCAGTGAGGTGGGCTCCACTGCTTCAGACGAGCACAGTGCTGTTGGCCTTGATGGCAGTTTGCTGCCGCGACAAGAGCGACGTTGCAGCCTACATCCTGTGCCCCCCTCGAGCATCTTTCAGCGCCAGCCTTCCAGTGCCACCTTCTCTAGCAACCAGTCTGACAACGGTCTGGATAGCGATGATGAGCAGCCTGTGGAAGGTGTGATGACAAATGGCAGTAAAGTGGAGGTAGAGGTGGACATCCACTGCTGTAAAGGAAAGGGCCTGGAGCTTGAACCTCCTGCTGCAGTGCGCAGCTCCTCTGCTCCGGGAACAGAGGACGACTCAGGGCTTGTCCTCATCATCCGCAGACAGAACAGTGTAAACAGCAACACTGTGCAGAGAGGGGTCAGGGAAAAGTGTGAACTGCAAAAATCTCTTTCCACATGCTGTCTCTATGGAAAGAAGCTTTCCAATGGCTCCATAGTGCCCTTGGAGGAGAGCCTCAACCTAATTGAAGTAGCCACAGAAGCACCCAAGAAGAAGACTGGCTATTTTGCTGCTCCATCCCAGGTGGAGCCAGAAGATCAATTTGTGGTGCCACCTGATCTGGAGGAGGAAGTGAAGAAGCAAATGAAGCAGCAGCAAGAGAATGGAGCGGACCAGGATCAGAAAGAGGAACATGCAGTGTCTCTGCCAGAGGAGTTTGACACAGCTTTGTAACCCTACAAGTACTGGTCCCACATTGTCTGTCCTGGGAAGCCCTGTCCCATAAGGGCTATCTTGCCCTCCAAGGGGAGCTGGGATCTGCAAGGAGTACAGGCATCTGCTGCTGCTTTAATGGAGTCAAGGAAGAATCGGGAGTGCTAAGGTCTGGGCTGTCCACTTGTCACCGTAGAGTCTTAGTTGTTGTGTGAGCACTCAGAGCAGCAGCTGAGCATTGTGTTAGGGGCTCTCTGGAGATTGTGGAAGCATTAGGAAGAAGGCAGATGTTTCAACACCTGCCTGTAACTCCTTGAACCCTGAGGTTCTGCCAGCTCTGCAGGGAAAGGGCTGGCGTACGTGCCTGTGGGGTGAGGAGGCTGCTGAGGGGAAACATTCAGTGTTTGGAGTCCTGTGAATATTTCTGATGCAGCCCCCCCACCTCCACCAGCACCCAACTTTGTTATTCCTTGAAAGATTACAGCCAGTTGCAGTGAAGCTGACCCAAGAATGGTTTCCTACATTAATTGCAAGCACTTTTATTGATTGCACTTAAGCTGTTCTGCTCCCCTTAAGCCCAGCACTTTATTATTTCAGGTGAGGGGAGAGAGCACTGCACGGCAGGTGTGGTGGGCGCAGCAGAAACTCAGGGTGCCGGTGTTCTGCTGAGCACTGGTGCAGGGCAGGGTGAGGGTTACGATAGGATTAGCTGATGCAGGGTGAGAAAATACATGGCTGAGTGATATCAGGTGCCTGCTGATGCGTTTTACCTGGACCATAGGAAAGATCAGCTCTGGACTGGTTGATGAAGGTCACGTGTAGAGCCAGCGCTTGGAGGTGCAGAGCACAGACCCAGCTCAGCAGCAGCTTGGCCACCTCTGTCACGGACACCTCACAGCAGAGGCTTCCTGTGTCCGGAAGACGGGATGAGACCCGGAGCTCATGCTCATTGCAGTGAGGTACTTGGTCTCACAGGAAACCAAGTTGTGAGCAGAGTCGTGCTGCTCTGAGGGTGGTGAGCAGTGGGACTGCCTTTCCCATGCTGGGAGGCGTTCAGTGCTCTGTTCCACCGACACAAACTCTGCACTGTCAGCTACAGCATCTTCGCTTGCCTCTGAAAACAGGAGTCACATTCCAAATCTACAGCAATCTGCATTTCATGGTACATGCCCAATTTGGCCACAAAGTGAAAGCATACTTGCTTCTGCTTAGTTTTCAAGGCAAAAGGAAAAACAGAACTTTCCACCTTAATACCATCTTTATCAGCACTAGAAAAGATGTTTAAAACAGTCCCAGTAATGCTGAACTGACCAGTCTGCACTCAGCGGATGCATTGTATTTCCATGAGGGTTTTTGGTGCAGGGTGTGAGTTGGCTGCCTGTGTCATTATCTTGTGTAAGGTTGGGAGAAGACCACAGCCCCGCAGTGTGCAGATCCGTCTCCCTTGGCTGACAGAGAGCTGGTCGTGCCAGTGGTGCAATAATCCTAACTAATGTGGGCTAGTGCCTTTTCTTCTTTATTAATTATATTTATGAAGAAAACTTGAAAGTTTATTCTCAAGAGCTCTGAGGGGCTTGAGTTGTATATTTTTGGATCAAATTGAGGCCTTGCTCAGAAGGAAATACTGTGCAGACTACTTGTGGGATTCTGTCAATATAGATCTTTTGACAAAATGTAATGGAGTTTTACTGAGATTTCAAAGCACCTTGATTTTCTTCTCACTAGGAAAAAATGTATTTTTACCATGCATGAGAACACAACGTTTTAGGATACACCTTGTGTTAGTTACAATGTAATCATGAAACAACCCAACTTTTTCCAAAGTTTAAACTCTCACGAATTTTGGCTGCTTAAATGCCCATTTCATTTGGAAATTGAGAGAAAAAATAATTCCTAGAATCGCAGAAATGGCGGCATTTGAATCCCCTACGCAGAGAAACAACAGCAGAAAAGATTAAAAAACTAAACCCCAAATGTCTTTCATGTTCTCTTCATAGAAGTATGCAGAAAAGGCTCATGCCAATTTATTTGGCTGCAATTTTTAATTCTGGTGATAATTTTACCAAATATCTGTGCCCGGCCCAACACTTTCTGATACCTGACAGGGCTGCAAAGCAGCCTCTGTTCAGCTTGGGACTGATGCAGAAATAGTGTCTCCTTTCTGAGTAAGACTGTGACAAATCTTGCATTAGGAGAGTGGCAGATGTTAATGCAGATCAGGTCTCTCTTGCACTGATGTGGAAAATCCAGAGTGTCCTTGCCAGTCTGAACCAGTAGCATTGCACTTAAGGGTTGGCATTACCACAGGGAGTTAGTCCTGAATGGCTCTTTCTAGCTCAGTGGGGACAGACTAAGTAAAATAAAACTCTGCAATGGAGCATGCAGATTTCTGAGCTGCTCCTTTTCATGGTAGTAGCAGAATGGAGTGCAAGGAATTCCTACTTAGCCTTTTTCTCCAGTGCTGTTTCTGGTTTTGTAGCAGAAAGGGAGTTTAATACATCCAGCTCCCATTTTCTGTGGGTGTGAACGGCCATGGCAGACCGTGGCTTGTTCTCTATGCTGGGTACATCCACAGCTTTCTCTGCTGAAGCTGATACTATGAACTGTTGGTCTTACCCTGGGCAGCACTGACTGAGTGCTTCCCTCCACCACTACCTTTTGTTTTCCTGCCTCCCTAGAGGCAGCAAGCTTCTCCTTTGCCCTCCTCACCTTGCTCATTAGCACCACCGTAGATTTCACGCTCCCTGGAAGCACTGCTGTAGGTGGAGCAGGTATGAACAGGCAAGTCTAGTGAAGGACTCACAGCAGGGGATAGAAAGTGTTTTCCTGGTTCTCTTCCCGTTCTCTCTCCTATTCCCTTCAAGATTTTTGTATGTGGTTCTTGCACAGATACATCATTTCCATGGAGCCACATCATTACAAACGTCCCATTCCTTAACAGACCCACTGCCAGAGAGGCTCTCAGCGTGGGCTCATCAGGCTCTGGTCCCTGCTGTGTTGTTGCGGCCACGGTCGGCTCAGCTGGGGAGTTCCTTTGTCCATCTCTTCATTAATTCTGGCTCCGCTGATAAGCGTGCTTGCTGAGAACACGTACTCTAAAGGCATTGACCTGTCTGCCCTATCCCCTCCAGAAAGGCTTCCACAACAGGAGCCTGTGAGGGTTATGTTCAGTGCTGAGTAGTTGGGGCCCAAGTATTAAGAATAAAGGGCAGCCTCCAGGTTGCTCCCAGCACCAGGAACAGGCCTGGTGGTGGCAGCGCCACAGTATGCTGGGACCTGATCAGAATCCTCAACTAGACAGGAGGGCAAAATCCTGTTCCAAGGAGCAGGTATTTCCCTGTCTGGGATCGGGCTGCTGTGAAGGCTGAAATCCTTCTCCCAGTCCACAGGACGCTCGGCCGTGCCCAGGGCCCTTGGACTTCAGGAGTCCCCACACTCCTTCCCAATGGCAGTGGCTGCCCTGTCACCTGCCAAAGGCCGCCTTCAGGCAGCAGGTTCACCTCTTCAGTTTTATGCACTCCTTGTCTGCTGTTCCATTGCTGTCTGAAGACTCAAGTTTATTTCTCTTTTTTTCACATTTTAAAATGTTACCCTTTTTTTTTTAACTTGACTCATATCACCCAGTGCATGTTAAAGAAATATTGCAGCACACCTGTTAATTAAATAATATTTCTTCATGGTTTTTGTTTTCAAAAGGAGAGTATTTTCTGTATCCCAATCTAGCATGCACCTGTAATAGTCTCCATTTTTATCATGTATGGGAATAGGTTGTCCCGTGAATGCACCTTCAGCACTGTGGCCTCTGTTTGCGTTGGTTTGGAGAAGCAAATAACGTAAGATTGCTGGAAAACACTATTCCATTGATTCTTTATTCAGGTGTATAGAGCAGTCCAGGAAGGAATATTTTTGCATCAGCTTTTCAGCTGACCTAGCAATAAAGATTTTTACTTTCATCTAACTACATATTCTGATTCCGTTACTGCGCTGGAGGGAATTTGTGCAATATCCTAGTCAAACGTAGCTGTGGCTAGCAGTAGCTGTGCTATAGGTGCCCCATCACTGAGCTCTGTGTGCTACTTCACTCATCAGCCTCCCCACAAAACCTACTTGCAGAACACCGTGAGGGTGGAATACACTATACCAGTTATTAGGCAGCTTCTGTATCCTGACAAAAGAATCCTGCCCCTTGAACTTGCTCTAATAGTACTGTACAGCTCTAGAAATACCTGCAGCAAGCAGGAAATACAGGATTGCTAGAAGAAACAGGACCACAGTGGACTGCCTGCGTAAAGCCCTGTGCTGAGACACTCGATGCATCTAGCTACTGAAAGGGAAGAAATGTCCAACACACCCCAGAGTACCCAGCGTGTTCCTGTTCAGCATTTGTTTTACTTTACTATCTCTAGATCCCACAATGTTCCATAGTTTTGGCAATTGTGAGGATTTAGTCACTGGTGCCAGTGAAACTGGAGATGCATCCAAGACAAAGCATGTTTCTCGTATATTTAGTTTGGTGTTTAAGGTTTTGTTTTGGGTTTTTTTTTTAATAGGGGCAGAACTGGTCTGAGAGACCAGTGGTGGTTCCATCTTCATATGGCCAGTGCACATAGTGGGCACTGCTCTGAAGTGACATTTCATTGAGGCATGATTTTGTGATTCTAGTGCTACTTTTCTTTTCCCTGTTAAATTTCCTTTAAAAGTTTACAAAAATATTTTTTAATAAATAGAAGAGCAGCATCTCATTTTCCCAACTTGTACATTAAAATGTATTTTGAAAACAATATACTTCTATCTTAAAGCACCCCTTGGAGTTCTTGAAGCTTTTGTCTGACTATCTCAACTCTGGGCATCTTTTTAAGCAAAACTGTTGTATACAGGTTATAAGTTGAAAAGGCATTGTGTCACAAATTAGGCTGAGTGTATTCATCATTTTACAGGTTTATTTCAGGACTCTCTGAGGGATTTATAAATGCCATGTTCAGACTGCCCTGTTATAACATTCCAAGAACCCTACAAGAAAGCAGTAATTAACTGCCACAACCCCAGGCCTCATTTTTAAGAGCTCTGTTCTCAGTGAAGTCAGATGCCCTTTGTAAAGACAGTTACAGCTACAGAAAGCTGTTCAGCAGCAGAACTGTGGAGTAGCTGTGGCTTCTTTCCCACAAGTAGCAGCACTTGTAGCAAGACCTCAGGGGAGAACAAGACACCCGCAGAAGGGAGGGAAAGGCAATTCCCTCCGCAGCTAGTCATTCTCTACTGAGAGACGGCCTCCAGGTGAAGACAAGCCATCGGACTGTGTCCACTAATAATTCAATAATGCACATTCAGTCAGGAACAGTTTGCCTCCACTCTACTCTCTGGGTGTGTGTTCTGCTGCATTAAGGCTGCACTGTCCAGGAGAAGCATACTGGTTCATCTCAGTAAGGGCACTGGCAAAAATAATGATCGTTTTGGGAGCAGAGGAATCATTCTAAAGCTCGTATAATTGTCCGGGGTTCTGTTCCAGTTTGCGAGCAGCTCTGTACTCCCTGAGAGCCAGGCCTGCGCTCAGCAGGTGTGCGATGGCAGCCACACAGCCCAGGAGGCCGACAGCAATCTCGGCACCATGCAGGCTGCACCTGAAACCCTGGTAGCCTTTGCTCTGGTAAAGCTGCTCCCTCTCTCTGCACACTGACGAATTATAAACCCCCAGCAGAAAATGGAAGAAACAGGCCAGAGCGGGCATGATGCCAACTGCAGTCACCGTGTCCAGGCCGCACTCCAGGAGCAGCCACGCCGGGCAGCGCCCCGGCAGCCACAGGACACCGGCCGCGATAAGGAGGCAGGAGGAGGCCATGAGGGCTCCCCCCGCAGCCATCGCCGCCCTGGCAACAGGCAGCTTCAGGCGGTGGAAGCGCTGGTCGAGCTGCTGGGCCCTCTCCCCGTCGGCGCCGTCGAAGCCGCTGTAGGCCCCGCCGTTCCCCCCAGGCTGCTGCCGTGCGGTCGAGGCGCTGCT